AATAGTCATAGTTTGTGTCATCCAAGACTGAATGCCTATTAACATTTCCTCTTCATTCCTTGTCCATAGTACCGAAATATAAACTCCCCAGAGCTCACCCAAAAATAGAACAGGGTGACCTACTCTAATACCAATTGAAATTCTGGCACTCAGATACCAGATGTCAAGACATATGTCACAACACTGAGATCAAAACACAGTTTGAACACACACAACCAAAAACTGTAAATTGCATAATGTAAATAACACCAAAGTTGTTAACCCAACTCGATCCAACTCACCTACATCTAGGGCTATCAAGCCAGGAAGGAAATCCACTATTAGCAATATTAATTTAAAGCTAAACAATCCAAGTTTACAACTTCTCACTTAATCCCTGCCCAATGTAACTTCTACCTATAAATCACCATCTAGATATGAGAAACCACTCTCACTCCCTAAATCACCTCAGTGGTATCAAACAGTCTCAATCCCAGTGACTATTTATAAAACAAACAAAAGAATAACACACTTCCAAAATAATACTCGGTTTTGCTTAAAAGCTTCAACCAAAAACAATACACTCTTGCTTAAAAGCTTAGAGTGAACAATGAACAATCATTCAAACTCAATGCATCAGAAGATATATGAGTGACATACAATTAACAAATGAAAATCCTAGGGACCAACCAAAACAACGACTAATCCTAATTACACACAATTCTCACGTTAGGCTCTCTTCTTCAAATAAGGTTTTTCTTCATTTTAAATAGCCTTCAGACCTACTGGTTTTAGGCTTCTTGATGCGTACAAATAACAACAATCAGTATAAACTGGCTGCAAATCAATCTGCATCAAAATAGAAGGAAATACAAACTTTCTTAAAAAGGCCCAAATATCATTTTTACGAAAGTAACAAAATTTTCAATAACAAAAATTCCCATAATATTCTACCATAACAATCGACCACATGTGCATCAGAACAGACTCAAAGATCACACTAAAATTACCAAAGTAGTCATGCCCTAACTACCTAGTATAACATGTTCTGAAACATGTCCTAACATTATGTAGAACATGATGTCTGACTGACATAACAGATCATCTGATTCAACATCTTACTTAACAACATGTTGTTTTAACAAAATACAGTCAATCTAAAAACCACATGACTTACAAAGAGGTACGAGGATATTAATGATTTATGTTGCTTCAAGAAAATTTGACAGAAAGATGAAGAATGTGTTAGGAGCACATGAGAAAAGAGACTGTGATTTTGATTTCTTATGCATTTTAGTTTAATTTTATTAAATAAAAAAAAAAGAAATAAAAAGTTGGTTAAACACTTGAAAGAGGGAGAGAGCGACCTCCTCTCTTAGAAGAATAGGGGTTTTTAACCCTTGAGCTTTGGGCCCCCTTCACTTCCTCACCACCTTTTGTTTTTCTCTACACCCCTAAATTTCATTCTATTTATTGTATGGTTCTTATTTTAATTGTTATTTAAAATTCTTATTAGAGATAATGGAAGTAGTTTAAAGAATATAATTAATATGTTCAAGTTAATTAACGTAATAATAGGGTTAATAAAAAATAATTGGATGGTTAATTAAATAATTTTAACAAATAGGGAATTAAAATACCAAAATGGTATTAGAGATTGAAATTAATGATAGGGGTTAATTTTAGAATAATTAAACATGTTGAAATTGGGGACAAAATTTTAAAATGGGTTAACATAAATTAAAAAAATCTAAAGGGATAAATATGTGATATTAATTAATTAGGGAATTATGGGTAATTCTTGGGATAATCATGGGATAAGTTAGGGATATTTTTGTGACAAAAACTTGGGATAAAATTATAGGATTTTGGGATAAAAAATCGGGGATAAGGGATATGGGCTTTAAGTTTATTAAACTTTTAAGATTGGAATAATTATATATCATTGTGTTTGACACTTGAGAATTAATGGTTGATTCTTCTTACCTTGTGTTGCTTGGACATCTTTCTTCTCTTATCTCTTCCATTAAATCCAGTACTAACCTTGTATGTATTACACCATTGTAAGTCGATCGTCTAGCGCATCGCCATCAACTTACCCTCTTCTATTCATCCCCTTATTTCTCATTTTCATCTCCTTCTTAAGCAGAAATCTTGGTCTTGTGCCAAGTGCATTTTCAAAAAAAATTCTCAATAAAGTTTGATGGTTATGTAGTGGCTAGGCAAAAACCTTGTCCAATCCCGAGTGTTTGACATTACCATTAGGGTCTGTTTGGTTCAACGGAGGGGAGGAGAGAGATTTTAATAAAAGGGAGGGGAATGGAAGGGAGGCGAGGGAATGCATTTTAATTAAATGTGTGTTTGGTTCATAAGAGGAGGAAAGGAGGGGAGAGAGAAGTTTTATTCAAATATATGTTTGGTTCACAGGGGAAGGGGAGGGGTTTTTAAACTAATTAACCTTTTTACCCATAAAATATTATAACAATCATGCTAAATAAATTATAAAAAAAAGTATTCATAAAAAAAATTGTTAATTTATAAAAAGCATAGCTAATTAAACACAAAATATTTAACATTTAAAATGCTCTAAAATGTCTTAAAATAAAAAAAAAATATTGATAAACGTCATAAAATTAAATTATATGATCAATGATCATATGAACCATTTTCTCATCTTGATGATCCATTTAATCCTATAACATATTTATAAGATTAAATTCTACATAATATATAACCCATACTACAATTATATATTGATATGTAATATAATATAAAAAATCATAAAATAATTAAGTTATTACAAGCAAAATATTAAATAAAAATGAATAGAATAAAGCACGTGGGAAAAAAAGTAGAATCATAATATTAAAAATAATGGAATTGTCATTAAACAAATGAATGAATTATAATAAGATGACAAAAATTAAAATATAATATTAATAAAGACAATTCAAAATTTTATTAAATAAAAGTGAAGATAATTTTGTCAATATAATAAAAATACATGTTATCATAACTCTTCTCTCCCCCCTTCCCTCCGAAAACTCCCAATTCGGGGAAACGAAAAAATACTCTAGGAGGGATTTTGATTACCTCTAATCCTCTCCTCTCCCCTCATAAAAAATTGAACAAAACACACCTATTTTAAATATTCCCTCATCTCCAAACCCCCCCAACCAAACAGACTCTTAGGGCTCACTGTCATAAAACACTTACCATCCAAAACAAAACATCTTTTAAATAAGAGAATCAAATTTTTTTTGTATTGAATTAAAAAGAGAGGATTAAGTGAAGACTTCTTCCTCTCCGAGTATCAGGATACTCACTTTAGAGTGTGTGGTATTGATACTCGTTTTTCAATGCGAAGACGTAACTATATTCGCCACAAAATTTCCAAAATAAATATTTTGAGATAAAGAATTGGATACTACCCGCAAGGATTCCTATTCGAGAACTTATTTCACCCCTAAAATTAACCCCCACAAATCAAATGTGACATCTTGCCTCGATGACAGACATCAGAACTTTTTCAGAAAGGGCATGTTATTTTTGTTATACCGCAATACATGTAACATATAAGACTCCACGAGCGAGCAACAATATACCTAACTGCTAGAGCGCGAACGTTTGCATCATCCATGAAAAACACCAACACACCGTAGTACCAAACTACATACCCTCTGATTCTTCATTGGTTAATGGAGATACGTAGGCACAATGATCCATATCCTTGTCGAGCACACTAACAACTAACTCCCATTTTCTCTCGCTCCCGTGCAATCGAGACAAACTAACCGAACATTTTCTCTCGCCCCAGTGCGATCGAGACCCTTTTTCCTAGCCGTAATTCTGAACTATGAATGCTCTGATTTCTCATTTCACAATGAGGATAGATATGCATAAAGATCCATATCCTTGGTGAGCACACTAACAACTAACTCCCCTTTTCTCTCGCTCTCGTACAATCGAGAATAACTAACTTAACTTTTTTCTTTCGCCGTAGTGCGATCGAGACATTTTTTACCCGTAGTCCGCCGAACTACGATTGCTCTGACTTCCTCATTGCACTATAAGAGTACGTAAGGATAAGATTGCGAGATCTTAGCGAGCAAACTTCCTATTTTTCTTACCCGTAGTCCTCAGAACTACGGGCGCTCTAATTCTTCACTTCTTTTAAGTGAAGATATGTAGGCACAGACAATGAAGTCTTGGCGAACCACCTTTTCTTTTTCCCACCTTTTACCTTATCATTTTCTTTCGTAATTTTTGTTTCTCAACCCTTTTCCTTCCCTTTTATAGCACTATTGGAAAGCAATACCTTTAACAAACATCCTTACACATAAGGCAAGCGAATGGTTTCCATCGAGTACGATGGATGTGGGGGATGCTAATACCTTTCCTTTGCATAACCAACTTTCAAATCCATAATTTGGTTGCAAGACCATCTTATCATTTTCTTTTCGAGGTTTTCTCGAGGTTTTCCCTTTCCCTTTTAGGATAAATAAAGTTCGATGACGACCATGTTTCTTTTTCGCCTCAAGTCTTAGTTATTTTTTGAGTAGCGACAACTGACGACTCTATTGTGGACTGGTTCACCCTAAGTAAGCCAAACCTAGTTCTGTTTGTCGTTGTGTGGATTGTTTACTTTTATTTTGCTTTGTTGCTTTATTTTATCGTGTTCTCTTATCTGTTGAGTTTATTGGAGATGGTTTGTGAGGAGAAAGACTTTTTACCCAAGCTTTTCGAGTATACACTAAACTAGGAGGTGATTGCTTATTGACTTGCGAGACTTAAGACTCGTTGAGTTGATTTGACTTCCACCGGTCAGATGAGATCTCTTTGATGGTCCTTTGAATTAAAATTACACAAAATAATGTAAGTAAATTAAAAAAAAAAGTTTTGAAGAAATTGGAGGTGAAAGAAAAGAAAAGACAAGCGTGCGGAAAGGAAAGAGAAGCAACAAGTTTATTTAGAAATTGGTTTGAGCGCGCATCGAGTGAGCGAGCAAGTGAATAGCAGAAATGGACATGGAAGATGATCCTGATTATGATATCTTCAGAGACGAAGACGAAGATCCTGATGCTCAACTTCACACAGTGAGTAACTACACTTACTTTATTATCTTCTTCTTAAATCTTAATATCGATTCATTCATTGCAGGAAAATGATTCCAACAAAGAATACGTGGTTTATCTCGTCGATGCATCTCCTAAAATGTTCACCACTACTTGTCTATCGGTTTCTTTCTCTCTTCCAACCATGCCCTAATTTCTTTCATTCCTCTTCCTACTCCCAACCATGCCCTAATTTCAAGCATTGCAGGAAAACCAAGACCCTGAAACTCACTTCCAGATTGCTCTTAGTTGCATCTCTCTCTCGCTCAGGGCTCAGATCATCAACAAATCCTATGATCAAGTTTCCATATGCTTCTATAACACAGTGAGCAACTTTTTCATTTCTCTTTTTTAATAACCCTTTCTCTTGCTCATACCCTAATTTTTTATTTACAGAGGGAGAAAAAGAATTTACAAGACCTAAATGGTGTTTATGCATTTCATCTTCCTGAAGGAGATTATCTAGATAGGCCTACAGCTAGGTTTATCAAAGAATTTGATAATCTCCACGGTAACTTTTTTTTTGCTGCTTCTAGACAACCATTTTTTATGCTAGCTACTTCTCATTTCTTTGTAATCTTCTCTAGATTCTTTTTCCAAAAGCATTGGAAGCCATCACGGTGTCTTGCCAGGAAGTCGAGAGAATCCTCTCTACAATGCTATCTGGGTGGCTCAAGCACTTCTTCGGAAAGGGTAATACATACACACTATACTTGCATTCTAATATCTATTCTATTTATTGGTGAATGATAAGGAGGAAACATTTATATCAGGTCCGCAAAGACAGTCAATAAACGCATACTTTTGTTCACAAATGAAGATGATCCTTTTGGGTGTCTCAAAGGGGCTGTAAAATCTGACATGACAAGAACCACACTGCAGAGAGCTAAAGTACCAATCTTTATATGCTTTTTACCTTGCATACTTTTGCATCAAGTTGAGTTTAAAGGATGCTTGTTTTTCATACCAATTATCATTATTTTCTGTGTTTGTGAAGGACGCACAGGATCTTGGCATAACAATTGAGCTTCTTCCATTGAGTTCCCCTGATGAAATGTTCGACTTATCTAAATTCTATGTTGTATGTACACATCTTTTACACATGCATAATCAACTAATTTATTCTCTTAACACATACTGATTAGATAAACGGTTGTTTATCCTCATTTTGTTATTTGCTTGTCTTTTAGGATTTGATTGGCTTGGAAGGAGATGAGCTTGTTAACTTTATGGCATCAGCAGGAAACAGGTATGGCAACTTATCTACGTAACATATCTCTCTGGCTCACATCTTTTATTTTTAAAATCTTTGAAAATCATCATGTACTGAACTAGGCCAACTAGTGGGTCCTTCAAAGTTTGATTTGTGCTGCCGGAATCTGAAGTATCTAACACATAAATAGTTTTTTTAGCAGCAAGAGTAGCAAGCTTAAACTTCCTCCCATCATCTGACTGTGTATGCTTTAGGATTCTTGTTAGATACTATTGTAAATTAAGGACCATCAATTTGAATTCAAATTGGAAAAGTTATTATTGTTACTGATTTATTATAATGCAGAGATGTCGGTAAATGGTGGTTCTGATCTGTTATAAATTGGGCACATCTATGTTTGATATTTATAGACTTTAGTGTAGAAATATATAACGATTAAGAATAAAGCCAACTATATCCTTTAGTTTTATGCATGCTAGTAATTCCTAAATGGAACCAAAGCAACAGCAAGATTGGCGCAGTGTTAGTTCTTAGACACCGTTGTTTTGTTTTCATTAAGTATTAGAAAACACGAAAATGATATTTTCAAGCTATTTCTGGGCTAGGGCTTAGGATTTAGTCACTGAGATTTAGGTTTTAGATAAAACCCATGGATATTGGGTCTGAACCTACAATATTCAACATGCCGTTCATTGATGCATGTGTGCTTGGAGTTCATGATCTTATATTCTTTACCTTTGCCAAGATTGTTACACTTGATCCAGAGGCTATTGAAAGCATTTTTCTTTTTAAAATTAGGAGAACTAATAATATATTGAACTCAGTTTTAATATTTGGATTAAACATTGATATATTAAGATAACAAAAGGTGTGATTTTCTACTGCATGAGGATTATTATGTTGCGCAAGAGCAATTATGATTAAAAGCTCTAACCAGGACTAGGACTTGATGTTTTAAAAGAATAAGTTCGTCTTTATTTTAGGTTAATTTGATATCCGAAATTTTTCTTATGTTGTAATTTTGCATTTCAATTTCAGATTGGAGGATATGAAAGATCAGTTAAGAAAGCGCATGTTTACGAAACGCAGAGTCAAAAAATTTAAATTCACAATAGTTGATGGGCTATCAATAGAGCTTAGTTCATATGCTTTAATTCGTCCCACTGTTCCTGGTAAGCATCCTTGTTATTTCTAGCTAATAGCAGATATTGTTTAGTGGAATTTATATTCCTTCTTTGGTGTTTTATTTTTCTCCATTACCCTTGCCAAATTTCTCATGGCCCCTTTTTAGTTTTACACAGTTTATGTGGTAATGGCAGTTTATACTTTGATGTGTAGGATCAATCACATGGCTTGATTCCATTACTAATCGTCCTTTGAAGGTGATGAATGTTACAGCCTTAACTTGTAAACAATCTATATGTTATGTTGCACTGTGAATTTGTAATTCACTCATCAAACAATAATAACAATCAAAACCTTTTTCCACTCAGTGGTGTTGGTTATGTAGATTAAATGATGCCATGCATTTAAAATTTCCCTGACAAGGTTATAATATCCTTTGGTTGAAACATGAAAGGTTCATTGTACCATCCCATACCATTTCTATATAAATACACTAAACAGAATTTTAACGTGATTCTTGATTCTAGAATTTTGTTGGAGGATATGGATATAACTGTAGGAAAAAAATATTTATAGATCTCTTATGACTTTGATAGTTTTGAAAAAGCCAAACCACTACACACATATTGCTGCATCATATTTTTTCGTCGGTTTCTCTGTACTCATGCCTTTTTATTGGATCATAATTCTCCTAAACTTTCTGTGATTATATTCTTTTAGCCAGACTGTAACACTGAATGTTCTAAAATAATCTTTTAAGAAAATGATTGTAATTAGTTTGGTGGTCCAGAGTGAAAGAACTTTCATTTGTGCTGATACTGGTGCATTGGTGGAAGAATCTACCAGGCGGTTTCATCCTTATAAAAAGTATGCATTTTTTCTTCTTTCTTTATCTTATTTCAATATTATTATTTTGATTCTTTGGACATTTTAGCCACCGTTGCTCTATTTAGATTGGATTTAGAAAATGATAGCAACCCTATGGTCCCTTCTATTTAAGAGAATGCAGTCATCACTGAGCATAGGATTTGCTGGGATCCGGACCCTTACCGGTTTTTTTGTTGTTTTTTTTTTCTGGGAAAAATCTGTGGTTTAATTATAGAAATTCCAGGGTGAGTTATTTAGTTGCAAACTTTAGGGTGATAGTCTCTGGGATATTTTATTTTGGGATTCAGTGCTTCAGAAGGTCTCTAAAAAGGAGATAGCAGACTATTCTCCTATCACCTTGAATGAGGGAGTTTCAATTCCTAACATCCCCTACAAGCATCCATACTATCAGATAAATGAAATTGAGAAAATTGTGAAGGGGATATTGTTTACTTGAATTATTAGGCCAAGTATCAGCCATTATTGTAGCTCGATCACATTAGTCAACAAGTAAGATGGTGGCTGGAGGTTTTAGGTTGATTGTTTTGCTTTGAACAAGTTGATCATTCTGGATAAATTTCCTGTCCCAATTATACTCGAGTTTCTGAACTAGTTGAGGGCGGGGGCAGTAATTGAGATTTGGATATTTCCAAATTAGGGTGAAAGATGACTTCCTTCATGAACAGATACTTAAACCTTTTTTGAGGAAATTTCATTTTTTTTTGCTTTCTTCGACAATATCCTCATTTATAGTAACGAGGTAGAGATTCATGTGAAGATAGCTGCAAGTGTTGAGGGAACATATATTGTTTGCTAATAAGAAGTAATGTTAGCTTGGTCTAAAGAGAAGCTAGCGTATTCTGGACTCATTGTGTGAAGTCAAGGAGTCTCGGAGGACCTCCAAGATATCTTGGTGTGGACTCCAAAGGATGTGAAGGGTTTGAGAGGGTTCCTTGGTTTACCGGATACTACAGAAAAGTCGTGAAGAATTATGAAAGAATAACATGGCCCTCACCCAAAAGCTTAATAAAGACAACTTTGCTTAGGAGGAAGATGCACAAATGGCATTTAAGAAAGCTATCATAGCAGTCAAAGATTTTGAGAACACTTTTGTGGCAGAATTTGATGCATTAGGGAAAGGATGGAGCCTTGGGTATGGAGTGTTCAAGTCGTACAAACTAGTATGAGATGCTCAATGAAATATTTATATGTCTCAGTTCTTTTCCATTGACAGCAGCTTTTACGGGAGAGTTCACCAAGTGCTCAAGTACTTATCAAATGTCTTATCAAGCTTTGCCTATCTTGTGTTAGATAGCTGGTTCAACACCTTTGTAGAAGTTAGCCATTGTAAAGTTGGTTGAATCTCATAGATATCTGTTTATTTTTTCTTTCCATTTTCATGTTTCGCTTACATGTTTTCCTTTGACGGTTAATAAACATGTTGACGTTACACATCCCACACTTATCTAATTCATCCACTAATTTTAACTTTTATTTCAAATCCCTAATTACCTCTTATAAATTTATTTGAACGATGTTACTTACACTACCCAATTTATTTCCAAAATTAGCCCTATACCCTTTGTCAAGCTTACCATAAACTGCACACTCATTTTTAATTTTTTTTAATCAAAAACTAGATACACGGGTTTCCACAACTCTGGATACAATAGTTTGTCAAGCTTACCATAAATTGCAACACATTTGATACTGATAGTTTAAGAGTCAGAGACATCTTTTTAAATCTCGTATCACTTCCGCTCTAAAACAATGATATGTATCTGTTTTCTCTATACATTTGCATCAAAATGAAACCTATCAATGTCTTTCCAGCTGTCAAGGTCATAATAAATAGTGTAATCTTTACCACGACATGCCTTTTCACCGAAGGGCGTCCTCCATGAGTTTCTGGATACATTAGTTTATCAAGCTTGCATAAAAGTTTGCGATGCAATTGATACTATTCAATTTTGGAAACTTCATGTATCCGAATGTAATATAGAATGTATATCGGGAACTAAAATTTCTCAAAACTCCATGTATCCAGACGGCAAAAATAACTCCAATTTCCGGAAGAAAAAAATTAAAACGAGTACACCGGCTTACCTTAAGGAGTTGCGCAGAGAGGAGAAAGACTGTTGGGAGGTTTTTTGAAATAGATGATGTCACGGGTTTTTAAACGTCTTTTTGGAATGACCTATGGATTGGGAGTGTTCCCCCTAAGGGTAGGTTCCCTAGGTTGTTCTTGATATCTGACTATCCTGAGGGGAGTGTGGGAGAGCTGGGTATGTGGGTTGTTGAGACCTTAGTTTGGGATTTTAGATGGAGGAGACCTTTTTTGTACGTGGCTGATTTCTTGTCGGTCATCAGAGGACTTACTTTTTCCTTGGAAAGAGATAGGTGGATTTGGAAGTTGGCGAGGGATGGCGTTTTTTCGGTGTCTTCCATTTATCATTCTCTTTTGGCTTCTTCTTTTTCTTCAAACCACACCTCTTCCACATGTAATTTGTCTCTCCCCCACATTTGGGGTAGCCAAGCACCTTCTAAGGTGATAGTTTTTTCTTGTCAGCTTCTCCATGATAGATTCCCATCCAGAAAGATTTTTTTCAAGAGAAAGGTGATTACTGACCCTGGTCTTACTTTGTGCCCGCATAGTGGTGATTTTGTTGAGACAACTTCCCACTTGTTTGTCACTTGTGAATTAGTTAGTAGTCTGGTATAAGATTTTTAGCTGGTTGGGGTGGTAGATAGTTTTCCTTAGGGATCCTAGCCTTCTTTTTGAGAGTTTCTTTTCTCTAGGTGGCAGGGTGAAGTCTAGGGTTTTCTTTACTATGATTTGGCATGCCGTGGTCTGGTCCATTTGGAGGGCCCGTTATGACTTTGTTTTTTTCTGGCGTTTCATCAAACGTAAAAGAATTAGAGGAAAAAGGTATTTTTTTTTTGACTTGGAAGTGGTTCTTGGGGAGATCAACGGAGAACTCTTGCACCTTCTTAGAATGACTTCAAAACCCTATCCTTCAGATTAATCAATAGCGGATTGAGATTTATGGCCAGGTTGAGAGCGGATGTGTTTCTTCTTTCTTCCTTAGTGGTCTTTGATCCGGTGTTGGTTGTCCAGCTGGCTTGAGCTCTAGCTCAATCCTTCAGGAGGCTGCAATTATTAGATGGTGTTTTTTTTGGAGTTGATTCTTAGTTTTTTCTGGTGGTAGTTTTTTTTCTTTCTTTTTGACATTGTATTTCTTTCCACTTGTATTTGGTGGGTTTTGTTGTTGTAGCTTTTGGTACAACTTGTGCCGACTGCCTACTCATTTGTTTGTTGTTCAGACTCTTTCCCCCCTTATATTATAAATAATATTATTTTGCCTTTAAAATAAATGTTAAAATTTTGGCACTGGATGAATTGAGTGTGGTGTATGTAACATCAATTTGTTGAGGCTGGTTGGTTTGTTAGATACTGCAATAAATATGCTATTGGCAGGCTTATTGACCTCAAATTGTTTTTTGATGTTGTGTTGTCTCCTTTTTTTGTTTACAGTTATAATATAAGATTGTTGTGTTGTTTTCAGCCAGGATATTATATTTTCTGTGAAGGAGCTATCTGAAATTAAGAGAGTTGCTACTGGACATCTACATCTTTTAGGGTTCAAGCCATTGAGTTGCTTGAGAGATTATTACAACTTGAAGCCATCAACTTTCCTTTATCCAAGCGACGAGGTTATTGTTCTTCTAATCATCAATACTCTGTTGATTACTTTTTTATTCATCAGTAATTTTTGGTTTTAATTGCAATTTGTCTGCTTGGCTCCGATGCCTTATCCTGTACTTTTGATATTGTTTAATTTTTGTCAAATTTAAGCATCAATATTATGATGGTCTTTCATCAGCCTTTTGATGACATTTCATCACCTTCTACCCTCTGGAGTTCTGTTTAAACACAAATTGTACTGACAAATTTGCTTACAGCGACTTTCCCTCAATTTAAAGTTCCATTCCATGTTATAGAAATGCATATATGTATATATATGCCTTCAGCTTATCGAATTGGTCCGGAAACTATCTTATTGTACTGTTAAGTAGTATTCTCATCAATTGATCTATTGGTATTTTGTATTTATGCCTTCAGCTTTAAGGAATGTTCCAAAAACTTTGTTTAATTCTTCCCTTATCATGTCGCATTTTGTTTTGCAGGGTACAGATGGTAGCATGTGTACCTTCATTGCCCTTCATAAGTCCATGATACAGCTCAACCGGTACAATATTCTCAATTCCTTACAACAATAGCTCTTTTCATTTGCACTATCACATCCTTTTGGTCATGGTTATGTCTACTGTAGTAGAGTTGACAAAGTGGTTGATTTTTCCTAACATGCAGAAAAAGGGACTAGGTGGGTTGGTGGATAATTTGATAAAATAGGTTGGCAGAGGCAACCCACACCAAATTATAGTAGGTTAGGTTTGGAGGTTGAAAGAGGTTGAGAAAGAATCTTTACCTAGGTGGTTTACTACTCCAAAGCATATTCCAGTTAGATATCTGTGATATTTTTTACATGTAAAATCATTTGTTTATACAAAGTAGAATTTGAGTGTTAGATATACTCAAGTTCAAAAAATCTTGGCTATTGATGGTGGTTACATAGTAGAAAAAGGGAGACAAAGACTGATTGGTGAAAGCTGCAAGTTAGGCAGTGTATACTATGCACTCACATGTTTAGTATTGTAGTTTCGTTATTTAGGGCATTGCTGATGTCAAGTGACTTGTTAACGTGTGTGTTAATAATTACTAATCAAAGTAATACCCTTGTGATCCTTTTAGTTTTGCAGTTGCATTCAGTGGTAGTTCATCTCGACCTCAATTGGTTGCCCTTATTGCGCAGGTACAATATGTTGAACTCTACAATATTTTTGCATTACAATGAATAGAAATCCTTGAATTCAAGAGCTTGCCTGTGGTGTTTTAATTAGATACTTGGATGGCTTTGTCTCTTAGAATTTGATAATTCTGGAATGCTCTTTTACTGATATATACAACTGCCTTGCATTTTCTTGCATTCTGCTAATTTGCCTGCCACAGATCTATTTGCTTATGCTCAAATTTTCTTCTGTACATTTCATACTGCTTCCTATCATAGCAGAATCATCACTTGTCAGCTTGTTGTAATTAAGAAATCATAGCTATTTAAGACTATCAAGTCAAACCGACAATTTAAGCCTGTTGTTTCTGAGCTAAATCCGCGCGTGTCATATTTGTAGCTTATATGTCTTTGATTGTAGGACGAGGTTATCCAATCTGGTGGTCAGATTGAGCCGCCTGGAATGCAAATGATCTATCTTCCATATTCTGATGACATCAGACTTGTTGAAGAGGTAGAGAGAACTGCAATAAGTTGAACTTATCTTTAAAGTTCAATTGTCAAACTAGAGTAAAAAAAGTTTGATGTTTTAAAAAGAAATTTATTAATAAGGAATGAAATATTTCTGCAGCGTCATTCAGATACTAGTGGGGTGCCTAAAGCAAGTGCTGATCAGATAAAAAAGGCATCTGATTTAATTAAGCGTTTGGACTTAAAAGACTTTTCTGTATTCCAGTTTACCAACCCTGGTAAGCTGCTTCTTCCTATTGCTCAGCCGCGCACCTAACTTAATGTTGTGTTTAGACTTCTAGGAAGCTTCGTTGAAATACTGTATTAATTTTAAATATTGAATGCTATAATTTGATTTATTTAGTCAATTACTCACATCCACTGTATTCTGGCATCATTATTCAAACCTCCTTAAATTCCTGCACTTACCCTGTTGACTTGAAACTTCTTCAACCCCCGATAGTAAATCATCATTAACGAACACGCTTCATATCTGTAGATGTTGTAATTTTCCAGATGTTTATTATTCTCATTTAACAAAATGAGAAAGTTATCATTCTGGGGTTGGTAACACACACATGAGTTTTCAGCCTTGCAGAGACATTATGCAGTATTGGAGGCATTAGCTTTGGAAGAAGACGAGATTCCAGAAATCAAAGATGAAACATTACCTGACGAGGAAGGCTTGGCCAGGTAAGCGCAAGATTTTCATGATGTAATGAATATTTTAATTTTATTGCTTGATTTTCAGACTGATCAGAATTGGAAGAGAATCTACTTTTTATGAGTATTAGCAACACATACATCCTAATATACTTTCTCGAATTAGTTGAAATTCAAATAGGTTTCACTAAATTATACTGTTTCCTCATAAATTTGATGGGACCTGTATAAATTTTAACCATTTGATATGAGCGTGTTAGAGAGATTGTTGGTTGCAGTATAATATTTTTTAAATTTCCTGTTTGACTCTTCCTCTGTTCACTAGAAAAGATAAAAGATTTCTTCCGAAGACTCGGTATGAAATGATAATCTTACTTACATTTCACACGCAGACCAGGAGTGGTAAGGGTATTAGAAGAATTCAAGACTTCTATATACGGGGAGAATTATGATGAGGAAAGTGAACAAGGCACCGGAAAGCCAACTGAAGCCTCCAAGAAACGAAAAGCGCATAGTGAGTTTGCTAAGAAAGAGTGTGAGAGCTATGATTGGGGTGAGCTCGCCGATTCTGGAAAGGTAAACCTTGAAATTTATTTTGCCTAGTGGTTTTGTTTTAATAAATTTGGGAGAAGCAGGTTTGCTTCAACATTAAGCCAATGGGTGAAGGCCCATGCAACATATTCAAATTTTCAGCTGCACTTTTGTTTTAACTCTGTTAAAAACTTGTTGATACTGAATCATTTGATTTTGTTTTGCAGTTGAAGGATTTGACAATGGTGGAGTTAAAGTATTATCTCACAGGACACAATCTTCCTGTTTCTGGGAAGAAGGAAGCTATTGTTAGCCGAATATTAACTCATATGGGAAAATGAGCAAGAAAGGGACCGGTGTTCGGATTACTGATTTTATGTCCAAGACTCGGAAGTACGTACACCAGAGTAATGTAAATTACCGTTTGTTCTTGACCCGATTTTGGATTATATACTGAGTTTACTTATTCTAGATCAATCTTCAAGACATTAGGGAAGATGTTTACAGCATATTTTAGTGTTAGATATTGCGTAATATCTTTTATAATGCTTGTTCAACCTTCTTATAATCTATTAAGGAAACAAAACAAAATAGGAAATGTGTTTTGATATAAACCTAAAAGAGAGACTTTGATTTACTACCAATTATAGTAAAAAGAAAAAGTCCATATTTTTTAATCAAACGGCCACTTTTTGTTATTATCGAATGATCAGTAATTTTATAAGAATTAACAATATATTTAATTTTAAAGTTAAATTTGAATAAAGCTTTGTTGCCCAGATAATTTTGTACAAAAAATGTTGGGAGTTTCTTGGAGTTCCTTGTATAAATACTAATTTAGAATTTTATTTAGGTTCTATTACTTCTAATTTTAAATTAAACCTCAATTTGTTTGTTAAAGTATCATACTTTTTATACAATACAAATATTATTTAAACTTCAACTGTTTATTGAATATATTTCTCAAATTGGTCTTCGATTCAACCATCAAATTGACATTATATACCACTGTAATTGTTCTTCTAGCTAGGGTTACTGATAAGATACATAAAGGTTCAGTTTTAAATAAAAATAAAATATTGTGGAATACATGTCACATTCAAAAATGCTTTTATAATTTAGATTTTAAAATCTAGATGCATCGAATACACAATGAGTTCTCTCTTAAAAATAAGCCAAAATATAGATAACTATGAGGATTTTGAAATTAAAAAATGTTAATTTTGAAATTCGAATATTTAATGAAACTTTTTCTTTACTATTCCTTAACCTCCTCAAATTGATTTGTTGCTCTTGTTAAGAACAATAGATTTGCAAAACTTCAAAACCTTTTTTAAAGAATTGTTTAAAGCATCTTAAGAATTGTTTCTCCATCTTCGTGAGGAATAAAAGATACTTGTTGAATACGTAAATATATTTTTGGATGTACATCAAATATAAACAACTCTTTGTTTTTGAGTCACTCTTTAAATAATTGACTAAATTGAATCTAGAAATGCATCTCTGTAAATTTTATAAATGTGTATTTTCGAAAAAAACTGAACCAAAAAGAGGCAAAAAAAATGAAACATTAATAACATAAAAAAACGAAACATTACATAGACTGTTAAAATAAATCGAACATTACATTTCAACATCTTCATAATTTCTTCGAACAATCTCGCATTTATTGCATTCAGCTCGATCAGACATTTTGCTTCGTAACGGTAACATGTTATCCACATAACCCTTAAATTGTCACATGTCTTCAGTTCAAACTTAATGAACAAAATCTTCCTTTGGGTGAAAAATACTCAAGCTTCACAATTTTTTGATTGTCGGAGTATTGTAGGAGATTCTTTAATATGAATTTCAAATCTATAAGACGGGTGTACTCATTGAACTTAATTCAATTGAGGGCTTCACGCCGTTGAAATAGACATATGCTACATGCCATTTGATGTTCATTCTGGTGTAATGTGATTTGGAAAAAATATGAGATGAGGACCCCGTACTTATAGAAGTTCTATGCCAATATCAACCTTAAAAATTCTATCTTGTCTAGTGGAAGTTCTGAAAGTACATTTTCGAAATCACCCTATCTTGCGATTAAGGATATGCATTTCTGGAACCACATAACACAAGCAATTTCAGAAACACTGAGAAACAAAACCTGTTTTAGAATGAAAAATTGAGAAATTTTATGAAAACTAAAACATGTATTTAAATGTATAAAAATTTATATATTTGTAATCATTAATATCAATCTAACTAATACAAAACATGTATAACCACCTAAATACATTGTTGGAGAAAAACTAAAATGAATCGAAATATGTGTCACCGACTAAATCTATATCTACAGGTGGTACCACGTTTTATTTATTTGTTTATCTTTCAATCTCATTGAACTGGTGAACTCTTGCATCTTTTTTAAATAATAACCCGGTCAAGTCTCAACTTTCCTTGTTGAATGAGTTGTCCACTTTGATGATGTTTGTGGTATATCGCATTGCAGTTTCAAATAAAATTGAACAATTTTCCGTGCTTTTGAAAGTCACCTGATATACATAATACCATCATTTGAATTTTTTTTCTTGGTTAAAATTGAAGGCCAAAGCCTTAACAGAAAAGACAACTAAAAATTATGTCTTATAAAAGTATCATGAAGATTCTCTAACAACATGTGATTCAACCAACTAGGACATTTTTCAATGTACTCATCAATTCTTATGCTTCCTGTTTAGTCCTTATCTGTTCGAAATTTCTCTCTAATATATGAATTATCTTGTTTTCTTTGATATCTTGTACATAAACATTTGGTGGATGCTTCTATTTCCTTAATGATCAATATTATGGAAAATTCATCAGGTAATTGCAGTGTGCATATTCTGGTAAGATTTCACTCTCATTTAAATTTCATATCTCAGAAACACCTTTTTGCTTATTTTGGATATTAGATTCAGGAGCCACATACCACATGACACCCTCTTCGAAACAGTTCTCCACATATTCCCGTATCCTAGCAATAATTTTTTTTACTACAGATGATACTCTTGTAACAGTAGCTGACATTGGAGATATCCAAATAAATCATTCTATAACCCTAAAAAGTGTCATGCATGTTCCAAAACTATCCATGAACCTAGTCTCCATACAAAAACTTACAGATGATTTATCTTGTAGTGTGATTTTTCATAATGATTGTTGTATATTTCAGGATAAGGGTTCAGGAAAGACGATTAGACGTGCTAGAGAAAGGATTTGACTTTACTATCTTGAAGAATCAACTCATTGTACAAAAGTTCACTTGTCTCACTCCTTTATGTCATAGTCAGTACTCTCCAAAAAGGAAAAAAAATCTTTCTTTTTCATTGTTGATTAATTTATCTTTCTTTTGGAGTCATTAAAGTTTTGTTTTCATCTTTATTCAATAAGGTAGACATTGAAAGTCTTCATTGTGATGTGTGTGGGGTTGCTAAACATAAGTGTCTACCTTTTCTATTAAACAAAAAAAAAGTCATTCCCCCTTCTATCTTATTAATTCAGATGTTTGGAATCCCTCTACCAATCCAAATATATCAGGTGCTAAGTGATTTGTTACTTTTATAGACGATTGTACCTGAGTTACTTGAATGTTTTTACTCCAAAACAAGTCTGACGTCAGTACAATTTTTCCAAATTTTTTCTACATGATTAGAAATCAATTTGGAATAAATATCAAAAGGCTTAGACTAATAATGGAAAATAGTACTTCAATCATGTTCTTATTCTTTCTGTCAAAAAAGGAATTGTCTATGAGTCTTCTTGTATTAAAGAACCACAACAAAATGGAATTGCAGAAAGAAAAAATGGACATATATTATACCAAACCCGAGCACTATTGTTTTATCAAAATGTTTCAAAATATTTATGGGGGGCCGCTCTCACTAGCACATATCTTATTAATTGATTATCTTCTAGAGTATTAGGGTTCAAGAGTCCTATGGATGTTCTTTCTTTCTTCCTTCTATCCAAATTTGTCAGTAAGTAGTAACATTAAACCTAAAATCTTTGGGCGTGTCTCATTTGTTCATGTGCATAATCAAGACAGAAAAAAACTCGACCATAGAGCCCTAAGATGTGTTTCTTCGGGTATTTCTCTACTCAAAAGGGATATAAGTGTTTTCATCCTCCATCTAAAAAGTTTTTTGTGTCGCGGGATGTTACTTTTCATGAGGAAGAACCGTACTTCATCCAACCTTATCTTCAGGAGGAGAATTTTAAGAAAGATAAGCTTGAAAGTCTCGATCTTTCTGGTCTTGAGTCAAATACACTCAATTTGTCTAGTGTTAAGTCAAATACATCTGATCATTCTGGTCATGACTCAAATACACACACACACACACACACACACACACACACACACACACACTCTCTCTCTCTCTCTCTCTCTCTCTCTCTCTCTCTCTCTCTCTCCCTCTCTCTCTCTTTCTGGTCATGACTCAAACACATTCAACCTCTCTGGTCTCGAGTCAAATCCACCTAATTCTTCCAGTTTCAAGTCAAATAGGCTAAATCTTTCTGGTCTTGAGTTAAACACACTTGTACTAGACCCATTTGAGGCTGAAGAAGTAAGAGTTGAGTCAAATCAATCAAGCACACCAATAGCTGAACTTGGACCTGAAGTGGATGTAAGATATGAAAAGAATCTGATTTACATGAGAAAGTCAAAGGTCATTCCTGAATCAACACAAGTTCAAAAGTCTGATTCGACTCCTTCAAATGAGGTAATTAATTCTTCTGAATTAAAAGATAAAATGATGAGTCAAACTACAAATAATAACCTAGAAATTCGAATTGCTATTAGAAAGGGTACTAGAAAATGCACCAAACAACCTTTATATCCCCTTTCAAACTATCTTTCTTTTAAAACATTCTCATCTACCCATAGAGCATTTCTTACTAACCTAAACGCTACTTCCATACCCACTAATATTTCTTAGGAATTATTTGATGGAAAATGGAAGCAAGCCATGAATATCGAGATGGACGCATTGAAAAAGAATGGAGCTTGGGAGTTAGTGACTTTACCAGAAGGAAAAAGGCCAGTTGGATGCAAATGAATGTACACAATAAAATATAAGGCTGACAGATCAATTGAAAGATATAAGTTCAGGTTGGTTTCCAAAGGGTTTACACAAACCTATGGAATTGACTATTCAAATACATTTGCTCTGGTTGCGAAGATGAATACTGAGAGTAACTTTGTCATTTATTGCCAATTATGGTTGGGAGTTACAACAATTTGATGTGAAGAATGCCTTCTTACACGAGGAACTTGAAGAGGAGATTTACATGCAAGTACTGTCGGGTATAAAAA